CGAGAGGGAGGGGATTGGGAAGATGCATCCAGAGACTTCCCTGGCCCCTCTGATCTCTGTGAGCTCCCGCAGCTTCTGAGCTCTTGATGTGCCTGCAGGAGGTTGGAGTGAGGTTGAGCCCTGGCTGGAAGGAGATAATGGGTGTTACTTTTCTTTAAAAAAATTTATTATTATTTTTTTTATTGAAGTAACCTTGGTTTACAGCACTGGTTATAATTTAGAGGACTAGGTTCAAGTGTGTGTTACCAGCCGCCCCCCACCCAACACCCCGGTGCTCATAGTCCTCCCCTATGGTCCCTTGTGCCCCTTCCCCCCCAAAGAAGGGCTCCCTAAAAGGCAGCTCCTCCCTTGAGTCTGCCCTGCAGAGTGCGCTGAGGGCAGCCTTCTCTCCAGGATAAGTCTTGAGAATTGCTCAGCACCACAGGGCAAAGGGTCTCAAAGGATGGCTCGCTGCCAGGCTGGAAGCTTAAGAGGGAGGGTGGGTGAGGGGAGACACTGAAGGCAGCACTCCGTGATGGAGAAGCCTGGGCCAGGCCGCGGGCACTGCAGAATGGTCTCATGCTGGAACAAGGTGGGGATCTATGGGTTGGAGAGATAAGGATGGATTTAGGCGCTTTTGTGTGTCAGAGGCAGGCAGTGATTTTCTTCTTCTTCTTTTTTTTTTTTGTCCACGGGATAATAAGACAACTACACCCCACAGTGGCAAGACTGGCCCAGGACATTTCCTGAGGTCAGATAATGGCGCCCATTGTGTGCGGGATTATGAATAAGCGCGCCTCCTCTTTACGCTATTGAGCTTGAAACCATCTTTATTCTGAAAAGATTATGAGCCGCCCCATGAGGCAATTTCAATCATTATGATAATATCAGTAGCAGAATCAAATCATATGTAGTTTGCTTTCTCAAATTAATATAAAATTGCTTCCTGGGTTAGCGGAGAGATAACCTAATAACTTAGATTGTCCCTGTGTGAGGACAAATGGATGAGTTTTTAATCTTGCCATTTTGAATAGGGTAAAATTAGTTTTTTAGGAGTTAAGATTCTTTAGTACTTATAGAAAAAATTGAAAAGTTTTCAAAAAATTTTGCTAACTACAGGAGGGCTTAGTAAAAGGAGCAAACCCCAGGAACCGTCTGCTCTCACTCACGTGGAATCTTCATGAACTCATGTTCTTTTAAAAAGGCCACATGGCTGGGTTGGTGATGTTTGTCTATCTTTGTCCTTACTCCTTTTTCAAACATTTAGGGCAGACTTGTTTATTCTGATGATGAAAGTAATACATGGTGACTGTAAAGGATTTGGAAAATATAGAAATACACAATAAAGAAGAAAATAAAATCTAATCCTGTCACTAAAAGATAACCACAGTTAGCATTTTTGTGATAGAGAATCCCAGCAGTAACAGGAGGCTTTCACTGCCCTCAATTCATGATAGAGTCGAAGGAGTAACATGAGGGGAAGCTGAAATGCCTCACTGAAATGATGACTAAGGTAGAACTATGTTTTTTTTTTTAAAGATTTATTTATTTATTTATACAAGCGCTGGGTACAGTCAGAAGCGCGGGAGGGTGAGAGAATTCACCAGAGCCAGAGCGGGGAGCAGAACAGGCAGACTGACGAAGGAGCACACTGCTGAGGGGAGCAGCGGGCGGCAGGAGACGTCTGCGTGCCATGTGGGACCCTCGCCCGGCGGCCAGGGAGCAGCTGGGAATCGAACCAGCGCTGCACAGGCTGGGGGCAGCTTCGCAGCTCAGCGCTCAACCGCTGTGCCACCAGGGGAGGCCCTAAGGTAGAACTAATTGAGCCATGTGGCGTTTCAAGTCCCAAAGGCAAAGACCTTACCTTTTTTTGAAGTGTCCATGGGACATTCATAAAATTGAGCATTTACAAAAACCTCAATCCATTCCTCAAAGCCAAAATAATAGTCAAGAACGATGGTGAAAATGCATGATGGCTGGTCAAGCGAGGGCACCTTCCAGGCTGGCTGGACCCAATAATGAATGGATACAGGATAACTCCATGCGCACACAGGTGAGTGTCGACCCTGAGTGACCTTCTCTGAGCACAGTGCAAGAATGTGAAAATCCATAGCAAATCCAGAAAACAAGGCACAGCAATGACATTCTTAAATAGCTCAGGTGAAAGGAAAAAATGCCAAGCCAAGTTGAAGGCCATCTGGAAGGAACACCTCGTGGGTCCATGGGGCAGCAGAAGAAGGACCAAGAGGAAAATCTCAGCCATAAATAAATGTGCATATTCTTCATTCTCATGGTCTTTCCTTGACTCTATAATCCCGTCATGTGTGGTTGTCTTATTTTTCCTCATCAAGCTATTGCTGAGTCTTGAAGGAATGGATTTCTCTGCTGCGCTGGGACTCTCCTTATTACAGGGCCATATTAATTTATAACGAGATTTTATAAGACGTATGTTTATATAAATAACACATACAAAGAGATTTATGATAAAGAGTTGGCTCCTGCTGTCCCAAGGTCTGCAGACAGCAGTGAGAGAGACCCAGGAGAGCCCCCCGTGTGAGTTCCAGGATGAGTCTGAGCCCAGACAGGAGAAGACAGCTCCGGCTTGAAGATGCTCAGCCAGAAGAAGTGAACTGGGTCTTCCTCTACCTTTTTGTTCTGTCCAGGCCTTCCAGGGGTGAGACCCGCCCACACAGGGAGGACATACTGACGCCTGTGTTGCTCTCACCCAGGACCTCCTCAGTCACACGGAGGATTATTTAACCAGGTATCTGGACACTCTGTGGTCCAGTTAAGGTGTGACACATCACAGCGACTAAAACATGGAAGAATTCCTGACCATTGGGGGGAAAAATATTTTAGTTGGAAGATTTAACATTTAAAAGATGTCAATTCTCCTAACTTTATAAAATTAACATACCAGCGGGTTATTTTTTGGAATTTGTCAAGCTGATTCTAAATTTCATATGGGAAAATGGACAAGTAAGAAAAGTCAGAAATAGTCTGTAAAAGTAAGGCCTGTCAGGTACCAGGTTCTGTCAGCTACTAAAATACATTAATAAGCTCACAGCTGCCACCACTGTTGATTACCCGTGTTGGCGCCTCAGAGCCACTGCTTTCTCTTTGATCCTTGATCACCTTGGATCAAGGATTTCTGGATCCTTGATCCAGAAATACGGGGCGTATTTCTGCCACAGGACCTTAGCTCAGACTTTCTGCTTTTTGAATGATGTGTACGGCTCCTGCTTTAATACCTCTTGCCTGTTTAACTCCTATTTAATCATCCCTTCTTTAGGGAAATCTTTCCTTCCTGCTTCCCTAAGCTTAAGTCCGTTTCCTTTGTTATCTTTCTTTCCATTCATTTATTTCAGTTTGTAATTATACAATCATCGGTGTGGTTGTTTGATACATGCCTTTTCTTATTAGCCTTGACGTTCAGGGCCTGACCTTGAGTAAGGCACGCAATAAATGTTTGTTGATGGATTATCAGCAGTCTCCTGGACTTAGAAGTGTGATTTAGACCTAGCAACAGTCTTCTAAATTCCATAATCAAGAGTCTTTCGAACGTGAGCCTGAGCCTGCGCCAGTGACGGAGGTGGTGATTTCTTAATGGGTAGTTTCTTTTATTCAGTTTAAAGGTGCCCTGGTAGCATTCTTGGTTAGCTTGTAATCGCCTAAAAGGCCCTTCCTTCTGTTCCCCTCCACTCCCCTGCCCTGCTCTGTCCCTTCTCCCTGCCCCCACCCCCCCATTCCCGGAGCACATCTTTACCATCCTCTTGAATATGTTGAGATTGGCAACCACCACGGTTACTAAGTGCACTGAAGCTTTTGTTTGGCTTTTTATGGATTGAAACACACTTGCCTTGACAACGCTTGTTGTAAAGTTAGAACGTTATGCTTGTTGTAAAGTTAGGACGTTAAGTTGACTTCTGTGTTCACCAGTATCTCCAAGCAGCAGCCATAAACAGGTTTTACTGGTCTGTTCCCTGAGGCCACTTACATATTCCAGGAAGCCCTTCCTTATGTGACCCCTTTTGTATCTCTTCAGAAATGAATCGAACCCTTTTATATCTTTCATGAGGACCATAGGTCTGGAAACTTCACAGACATGGGTAGAGGTCTCTGTCCCAAGTTTAGGAGCGACTCTTGAAGGAGGCAGGGCTTAGGGACAAGCAGGACAGAGCCAGAGCCAGGGTTGCAGGTGGCCAAAGTTATCAAATCCACTTGCAGATGTTTATCTGGCTCACACAGGGTTTCTTTTTTAAACACTTGCCAAGTCGTGACACCTGGGAATTTTTACTCAGAAAGTGCGGATATAGGATGCCTTGAAAAGTTGGATGGATTTGGCAGCTCTGGGATCTGTACCTCTGCACTGGCAATCACCAGTGGAGCTGCAAGCGCTTCCCTTCTGGGTGGATGAGGCCTCTGGACGTGCTGTCATGTGATCTCGCCCTTCTGGATGGACCACCCCGCTGCCTCTGGTCTCAGGCATGCGTCTGAGTCACCTCCAAGGCCCCATGAGAGGTTGTGAAATGGGAAGAAAGGGCTCAGTGAAGAGTTAGGAAGGAGACAGTCTTATGTTTAGTGCACATGACCTCTGTGATAAACAACCCAAACACTCTTCCAAAGACGAGCTGATAAACTTTGTAATTTGGACACAGAAGAATAGTACAAACTGCCCCCTAATTCAGTGCCACATCGCCTCTCTTCATAGTTCTTTGTGGACTGTCATGTCTGAGCAGAGCTCAGATTCCACTGGAGTTGGGGTGGGGGAACCTTTAGAGCAGCAACCTCAAATGCTACCCTGGGCGAGCCCCTCCTCGGCTCTGGGCCTCTTCCTGCTTCCCTTAGAATCTCAGGAATGAGGAAAATGACCTGAACACAACCTTCTGTCCAGGTAACGTTTTTGACACTTCCAGAAGACAACAATGCTTCTCTGTACTTAACCTGACTTTGCACCGCTGTACAGGAAAGACTGCTTATCACTTGTCTTTATATTTTGTCTTTTGGGGAAACCCTAACAGGAAACTCACGATCATCTTTTGGAAAGCCCGGTCACTCGAGAGCAATTAAACCACTACCGAAATGTGGCCGAAAACACCCAAAGTGAACTTGCAGCAGTTTTGGTCAAATTTGAATGTGCCCAGTCGGAGGTAAGAGAAGCGCTTTTGTACCTCAGGCCTCTGGAACTCAGAGAGTAGGGGGGAGAGTGTAGGTGGTTAGAAAAAAGACAATGGCAAAGCTTGTCCTCATGCCCTCGCTTTCCTGACCTCTAGTTGTAGAGCATTCCCGAAAAGTTACTCATTTGCCCAGCTGGACCCGGCATGAGGTGTCGAGGTCTGAATTTAGATCACAGAGTTGGTCTGTGGCCTTGAGAGATCTGGGACACCTTAGGACTTGGGGTTGAAGTTCTCTGGGCCTTGAGGGAAACTTTTAGTATCGCTCAACATTATCTGCCTGCGCTGTGGGTTGCTTGCTATCTGGGGCTCTTACGAAGCCCCTGGGACAGAATCAGGTCTAGACGGTAATTTCTGAGCATCTCTCTCTAGATCCATTCTGCTCATGGCCTGAGGACTCGTGGGACTCTGGCATCCTGCTTGTCTGTGAGATAACTAGTGGTTTTGTTGGGCTGCCAAGAATCCACAGAAAGATGAGCTGCTAATGTGTGTGTGTGTGAGTGTGTGACTAGGACTAAAAGTATGCTTGGGTACTTTTACACAGTTCCAAAGAAATACATGCATCCAAAGTTTTCTTATAGGATGAACTAGATAGTATAGCTTCACAGGGTATACACGTTGTTCAGCATTTTGATGCCCCTGCATTTTAATAAAAATTATAGGGCCTCCCAGGTGGCGCAGCGGTTGAGCGCTGGGCTGTGAAGCTGCCTGCAGCAACCAGAGGAGGGTCCCACATGGCGCGCAGATCTCCTTGCTATAAAAATAAAAATTATACAAAAATTAATTTTGTATAAGCCCTATAAGAAGTTTTCTCCTCTGGCATATTTTCCCCAGAAATATGAATTTTTTAATCGTAGATACAATAAGTATCCAGAAAACAAGACATACAGTGACAGAGTGAATAGCCTGGTTTACTTGGGAAACAGCTGTGGTCATGAAATTGCAAAGAGCATAGATTATAGGTTTCTTGCTTCGTTGTTAGTCAGCAGCAATATGGATATAGAAAATGGCTTGCCATTACAAAACAGTTCATTGCTTTTTGCAAGATAGTCCAGAAATGTCTTGAGTGAGACTGTCACTACAAGACAATGCTCAGCTGGTTTTGAAAAAGACAGATTATAAAGTTCACTGTATAGGCATCATTTTCCATCTGGTAATACAGATACTAATATGCAAATAAAAGAGTAAACCTGTATTAAGTAATAAATAAAAAAGTGAAATTTGAAATTATGCTTTAGGGTGTTTTTTTGTTTAAGATTTATTTATTTATTTATTTATTTATTTATTTATTTATTTATTTATTTATACAAGCACTGGGCACCGTCAGAAGCGCGGGAGGGTGAGAGAATTCACCAGAGCCAGAGTAGGGAACAGAACAGGCAGACTGATGAAATACACTGCTGAGGGGAGCAGCAGGCGCGGCAGGAGAGGTCTGCGCGCCATGTGGGACCCTTGACGACAGCCAGGGATCGAACTGGCGCTGCAGAACCAGCACTGCAGAGGCTGTGGGCAGCTTTGCAGCCCAGCACTCAACCGCTGCACCACCAGGGGAGGCCCTGCTTTAAGGTTTCTTAAAGGGACTTCAAACTTTCCTTCTTTTTACTTCTTTTTCCATGTTAGCTTCGAGACCTCCGATCCAAGATGCTTTCTAAGGAAGTTTCCTTTCAAGAGTTGAAAGCAGAAATGGAGAACTACAAAGAAAATAATGCCAGGAAGTCATCTCTCCTCACCTCCTTAAGAGACAGAGTTCAGGAGCTAGAAGAAGAATCGGCAGCACTTTCTACTTCTAAAATCAGAACAGAAATCACAGCTCATAATGCAGTCAAGGAGAACCAGGACTTGAAGAAGAAAGTTGTTGAACTACATGAGAATTTACAGTAAGGCTAATTCAATATATCTCTCAATGGAGCTGGTGATAGACTCCTAGCTTCAGGGAGCAGGATGCACCTATGGATGCAGCAATATTTTGCAGTATTTGGCCGTGAAACTCTATTTGAAAAAAAAAAAATCATTGACTTCCAATTATCTTTGGAGTCTTGAAAATTTTTCTCAAGTTTATTTCTTCTTCTTTTCAATTTTAACATTATTGTATTTTATTTTTCCTTTACTGAGGTGGCATTGGTTTACAACATTGTATATTATTTAGCAGAATAGATTCACACCTTTTCAGATGTGTGTTACCACACTACACAATCAAAGCCTCCATAGTCCTTTCCCTAAACCATTGGGCTCCCTTCTGTCCCTCCCCTCCCCTCTAAGTAGCCTAAATTCTGCTGTCATATTTCTAGCATTTGTTTATTTTGTTTTTTTCCATCTATATTCCACATATTAGTGAAATCAACTGTTGTTTGTCTTTCTCCTTCTGACTTTTCACATAGCGTCACCCCCTCCATTTCTATCTCCCAAGCTCATTTATAATGCCACCAAGAGTCTTTTGAACAAACAGAATTGCCCTGAGCCTGTTTATGTCCTCTTGATTAGGGCTGAAAATGCTAACATATACAATTTAAAGATTTTTTCCAAGTAGAGGTATAACCAGAGGTGGTGGGGCAGTGCCCAGAGGGAGGTGTTTACTCAGAAACTAGTTATGAAGGTGATCCAGAAGCCCAGGCACCCAAGCACTCTTCATTATGTATTATTGCCAATTTAGGCAGAGAACTCAGGAAACCCAGATTTTCCATACTCAGTGCTGGCAAAGGTGGTTATTGAGACAAAATTGGGAACCTGTTCTTCCTACCCCTTCTTTCTTAGCCTTAGAAGCCTCACTTTCTTTATTGGTGTCTGATAATTTTTAAGTGCTTACTTTGTTGAGTTGTTTACTATACAAATGCCCAATCTTAGAATTGCTTTACTACTCATAATTCCCTCAACTCCTTCTATTTTTCTGTAAATGGCAATATTTTGTCTTTTCTTATTACTGAATAGTATTCCATAGTCTGGATATAGCACATCTTCTTAATCTTTAATCAAGAGGTATCAGATTATTTCCTTGTCCCAGCTACAGTAAATAATGCTGCAATAAACAGTGTACAGCACATATATATATATATTTTTATTTGATGGTTTCATGTTCATTGGATGACCCCTAGGAGTGGGGTTGCTGCTATTTCCATTTTTAGAGTTTTAGATAAATCTAGATCACCTTCTAAAATGGTTGTACCATTTTTTTATTCCTGTGAACAGTGTAGTAGGGGTCTTCTTCTCTGAAAATTCTCCAGCATTTGTTGGTGGATTTTTTGAATATGTTCCATTCTCATGGGTGTGAGGTGAGATTCCATTGTGGTTTTAACCTGCATTTCCAGTCCTTGTGTGACATACCGCTAATCTCGCATACATGAGTAATTGATCATTATTCATCTTTTCAATTAGAATCAAAGTCCCATGAAACAAGGATTTTAATTGTTATTGTTTAATTATTTTATGATTTATTTTACTTTTATCACCTTTTATAGGGGTCTGGTACAGAGTAATGCCCAATTAATATTTATTAAATAAATGAGTAATGAAATGATATATACTTACAAAATTTTTAAAAAAATAGAAGATGCTAAAAAATTAAAAATTTTCTAAACCATTTGATTCTAGGAAAGCTATAGTTAGTATTATGTTGAATAGATTTTGACATAGTTGTACACAAATGATACTAAGTAACAAACTATTTTCACTGAAAGTACCTTGTAGACATTTATGAAAGTCATTCACCATCAATTTTAATGGTCCATGAAATTCCAGTGTGATATATTTAACTAGCTCCCTGTGCAATTTCCTACAGGCACGTAGATTAGTTTCTTTAAAAAAAATTGCAAGCCAAGCTGCAATGAATACCCAAGTGCATTCATATTTTCACACATTTCAATTTATATGAAATTGTTTTCTTGGGTGAGACTCCTTGAACATTGTTGGGCCAAAGAGAAAATCAAGTAGAAGTGGAAATAATTTAGAGAGCATTGGAATGAAGAAGTTAGACTGAAATCTTTGGGTTAACGTTTGGAATCATATACATAAATCAATCAGAGACATAGTGTTCACTGTGCTATTTAGAGAAACTGAATAAATATTACCTTTCAAATGCTGAAAATAAGAACTTAGCAATATACTGATGTTGGTCTTTCATTGTGATATGTTTTTCTAAATAGAAATATGATATGGTTTGGAGCATATGCAATTACATGCTTTGTTAATCTTTGAATGGAGTGAAAGAATTTTCAGTAAACACTCAACATGGTTAAAAGGGAAACCAATAATCATGTTTATTATCTAGGGTACTGACAAAATGATACCAAATTACTGAAATGATTCTAATTTGCTGTTAAAGTATGTCTATTTTTTGATGATCTCTTAATCTCCAACCTTTAAAATGTTAGAAATAGACCTTGCTATTTTCACAAGCCTTTCCAAGATTTGAAATAAAATATTCAGAGCAGAGCATAAATGTACTACTGATTGTCCTTCACGGCCCATTCCAGTGCTCGTGGGAAGCTAATAATGATTTTTGCTGGTGATTGAACAGCTCTCTTTCCAGAGGTGGGAATATCCCCTGCTCCTGATGTATTTTTCATTATAGCTGTTTCTGCCCATGAACCCGTCAATGTCCTAACTTACACTCACGGATCACTGTACAATGTGTAAAAAGAAGTCAAGTGTGGCCCCCGAGAGCCAGGGTGGCTCTCCTTCTCCGTGCTTCTCCCAGAGTCCCACAGATGTGAGGCTTGTGCAGGCCTGGGGGCCTACCTGCCAGTCCTGCAGATTCTACAAGGTCCGGGACAGAAGACAAGGGAGATGTAGGATGTCAGGAGGATTCCTCCATGTTTCTGCGAAGTGTAGGTGCCCCAGAAATGCCTTCACTTTTCTCCTTCCTTTATGGGGCTTGCTGGATAGCCATGCGCTCGGTGCCTGAACTTCTGTGGAGTTAACACTTGCCTTATTTATTATTTGCCCAATAGAAAGTGTTTAACTGAAAATGAGGAGAATAAGAATCAAATCTCAAAGAACTGCAGGAAGCATGAGGAATTTCTAGCTCAACTTCGAGACTTCTTAGATCCAGACAAGAACAGCGCTGAGGTCTCAGATGAAGATTTGATTTTAAAGGTATTTGTGTGCAGATGAAAAAGCCTCTAAATTGCAGTGGTCACTCTGGCTTGTGCTGTGGAAGCCCAGAGGCTGGGTTTGCTGGTGGCAGGACAATGGGACCGTTCCCCCAGGGTGGCTTTAATTGACGGTGTGACCTGGGGCAAACCCTGCAACCCTTCACCCTTTCTCAGCCTTTGCGAGATCCTTTCTAGTGTTCTTTGGGATGAATTAATCTCTAGAGGAAACTCATTATTTTATCCAACATAGATTTAGGTTTTCAATTAATTTTTCATTTTAATAATGTGTTTTAGGAAGACTTTTACAGAGAGAAACACACACACACACACATACACACACACACAGAGGAACAAAACCCAAACCAGTTCTGTATCCTTGTTGGGATATTTATTAAGTATAAGATCAGGATGAGTTATACACTTTTTAATTTTTCTTTTTTTTTTTTTTTTATACAAGCACTGGATACAGTTAGAAGTGTGGGAGGGTGAGAGAATTCACCAGAGCCAGGGCGGGGAACAGAACAGGCAGACTGACAAAGTACACTGCCGAGGGGAGCAGTGGGCGGCAGGAGAGGTCTGCGCGCCATGTGGGACCCTTGCCCGTCGGCTGGGGATTGAACTGGTGCTGCAGAGGCTGCGAGCAGCTTCGCAATCCAGCGCTCAACCACTGCACCACAGGGAAGGCCCACTTTTTAATTTTTCACCGAAACCAAATAATAAAAATCCTTCTTGACTCTAAGATGGAAATCAATGACGTCACCTGAATAATCACTTGGTTCCTAGTGATTCACTGGGGCATCAGAAAGCCTTTGAGAATGCCCTGTATCTGCGCTCACCTGCAAATCTTTGTACTTTGCTTCCTGACAGGTTTCCTTGCCGCCGATCTTTTTTTTTTAAAAAAGATTTATTTACTTATTTATGCATACAATTTATTTATTTATTTATGCATCTCTGGGGTGTAGGCCAGAGATGCGGGGGGTGAGAGGATTCACCAGAGACAGAGTGGGGAGCAGAACAGGCATATTGAGTGAAATACACTGCTGAGGGGAGCAGCAGGTGAGACAAGAGAGGTCTGCCGTGCCATGTGGGTCAGCTCCTGAGCCGGGCATCGAACTCCTTACTGCCAATCTTAAAAGCCACCTCCCAGCTAAGTAAGCCGAGGGTACTCACTGAAAGTGCAAAAAGATTTCATTTTACTTCCAGAAGTTCTGCTTCACTGATGGGCTTTGGTTGCTCAGACCAAGGTCTGTCTGAGTCTCTGGAGGGTGCTGGGTGCATCTCCTGGTCCTCCCTGTGGCTAACATGTGACCAGGAGCCTGACTGTAAAATTCCACTTCCCAGTATAGTTGGGGATTTTCTTTAAAGCCCAAGAGAAGAAGAGAAATTCAAGGCGCTCCTTCTTCTGGGCACCCTCTCCCCATGTCAGAGAGGCTCGGCAGGGTCTCACTTGGGTATAGATAGTGTATTAATCAGACCTGTTTATTTTCTGTGTTTCTAACTCTTTGACACGGGAGCCTGACTGATTCCGGGGAGACTGCCATGCCCAAGATGAGCTCATTAATTCCTGGAGGTAGTAAATGACTCCCTTGTGCAAACCCACAGTCCAACCCCTTCTACTGGGCCCTTCCATGCTGGCCCACTGTCCACCTGCCCACTCCCCCCAGGGCCAGGGGCTGCACGGCTGTCCTCCAGAGCCACTGGGGTTATTCCAACTAGCCAATCCCAGTCCTGCTGACCTCGCCTCTCCCTTTCCTTCCTGTGGAAATCACACCTCCCCCTGGCACCCTCGGTCTCCTGACCAGTCCTGGGGCTTCCCCAGTGGTCATGCGTGGCAGGGGCACCCCCTAGGGTTTTAGCTCCCGGATCACCTGAGCAGGGTCATGGGCCTAGGGCAGGACTGCTGCTGTTCTGGGGCCTTCCTGCGAGGTGTTCCCCCGAGAAGAGCAAAGCCTGTGCTGTAGACCCAAGGCCACCCCTCACTTTTCTAGGCCTCGCGAGCACACACGCACAACCCTCCCTGGGAACGTCGGCGGGAAGGAGGCTTTCCTAGGAACTGTGGCCGTTCTCACCCCCTTCAGGGATAGGTAGTGAGTGACCCCTGTGTGCGGGACACTGTTCTGGGGGCGAGGATCTGGCCATGAACAAGATGAGACCAAGTCTGCTCTTCTAGACCTTATTGTGGGGGGAAAGATGATGAAGAAATAACCAAATATTTATTGTGATCACATGTACGAAAAAAAGTGCAGTGAAGAAAATCAGAGAGTAGGGTCAGAGAGTGACGAGGGGAGAGGCATGCTTGTTTAGGTCAATGGCCCCTGCGTGGTCCTCTGGGTGGGGGATTTGAAGGCTGTGGCCAAGTAAGCGAGCAAGCGTTGAGGACAGGGATCAGGAGGTCGGGGGCAGGGATCCTGGCTGGCGAATTGCTGAGGTTGGAAGAGCCGTCACTTTCCAGGCAGTCCCAACACAGGACTGACCCTGCGCGCGATGTGGGCCTCAGGTCTTGCCCCAGGTGTCCTGGTGACCTCAGAGAAGGTGCGTCTGCATGGCTGGTTCTCTGGGGCCCTGGAGCCGGCTGGTTTTAATTTCCGTCCTCACAGGTGTTAGAGATCTCATCCAGGACCCCAGTTAACACCACAAATGCACAGCGCAGGGATTCAGCGACCTGCTAACTCAATGATAACATTGCGTGAGCCTGTCATGGAGGATTTTGCTTGTGTTCATTGGAAGAATTTCATTTTCAAAAAGGAAAAAGTGCCGTCTTCTTTACTACTGCTGGTTCACTCCTTCCTTCCCCCAGCACATAGCACCTGGAGGCGGTTAGTACGAGCTCTGTGGCTGACTACGCCCCCACCTCTCCTCACCTACACGATCTCTGCAGACCACCTCTTCCCCTTGATTGTTTAGCGCTGGGGCCTTGCTGATGCTCGCTCAGCCTGGCAGCTTGCAGCTGAATTCTCTCGTGGTTGCCTTGAAGCTGTTTTGGCTTACTTTTCATTTGACCGCCTGCATCTGCACAGAACAGAGTTTAGAGGCAGCCTTTGAAAAGGTGATCTTTTTGGGTGGGGGAGGGATAGAGCTTTTACTATGTTCATAGGGTAGTCGTCACCGGCGGGGTGAGAGATGGTGTGTTCCTTCGGGCTCTTGGGCGGAAACTTAGTTTTTGTGGGCTAGCTGTCATTGCTTTCTCTCCAGCTTCGAGAGCTGTGCACGGAAAGCGCAGCCCTGAAAGGACGCATCTCTGCTCTTGAAGAGACTGTAAATGTCCATGAGATGGAGGCAAAAGCTAGCAGAGAAACGATCATGCGGCTGGTTTCAGAAGTAAACAGAGAGCAGAAAAAAGCTGCCTCCGATCTTGAAGAGAAAGAGAAGCTGAGCCAGGTAGTGTATGCGTGCCTCTGCGATGGTGCCTGTGGAGCAGCACTGGAGCCGGGCTGTGGAGCACAGGAGCCTCACTGAGCTACCTCTCCACAGGCTGCGCTCCCTGCAGGGGTGGGGGAGACACGAGGGGGGAGGGGAGGGGCCATTGTGGGACTCAGGGACCTGAACAAGTCATTTGATACCGTGTTTTTTTCTAATTAGAAAGAGAGAAATACACACCACTTCAAAGAAAAGACTTTGTAGGGAATATGTCTTATTGTAGTTAAACTACACAGATTTTTAAAATTTAAGAATTCATTTTTTTAACACATAGGTAATACATCCACAAGCTACAGATTTCGGAATGGACACAGAGGTATATGGTGGTCTTCCCCTACCCCTTTGCTGCAACCCCTCGGCTGTTCTCAGAGAGCACCCGTTGTTGTTAAGTTCTGATACACCCTTCTAGAAACATTCTGTGCATGTGTATGCACGTACACATTCGTTTTATTTATTTTTAACACAAAATGTAAAAAGGCTGCCATATATAATCTCGTCTTGATTATTTTTCATGTGTGAGAATGTATCAGTAAGACAGAACCTAGAAGCAGACTTGCTGGTTCCAAGGCTCAGGGGATTATAATTTTGAGAGAGATGGTTGAAAGGGAGTGATTCTTAATTCTAAACTTTTATCTATATCAGGTGTTTGATCGTTTCAAATAGCTGAACCTGTTCTTTAGACTTCTAAGAACCCACCATATAATTATTTAATGATACAATTTTCCTTGACAAGGAAACAAATTAGGAGATTCATGATGGATTTCCAAAAGCAAAAGGGAGCTAATACAATCAGTCAATCAAATACATAGAAGACAATGTATTTTATTAATGGCAAAGTAGGAGTTTAAAATTAAGTAATGACCAACACTGCAAAAGATAGACTCTTTGAGGGGTGGAAGTCTAGTTGTATCCCACGAGCTGCAGAGGGGCTTCTGGAATCTGTGGGATATGGTAGGAGGAGCCATTTTTATGGGAACTTCTTTTGGGTCTTCCTCGTCTACAGTGACATCACAGCCAAGTGGGGTGAGATGGAAACCGGCATGCAGAGGTGACTTATAGTCCTGACAATAATTTCTAACCCCCCACCCCATTCCCTGCATCAAAAACCCCTCCTTACCACTGGATTTCTTCTTTTGACACATAAACCTTGTAAAAAGAGCAAAAGTTTTATTATTATCCAATATCTGCACTCATTTCAACACCCTTGACTTAGTTTTCTGGGGCTGCCATAACAAACAGACTTGGGGACTTGCACAACAGGCTTTTTTTTCTCATCATCTAGAAGACTGAGAAGCCCAACCAAGGTCAAGGCTCCTTCGAGAGCCCTCTTCCTGGCTGGCAGACGGTCACCTTCTTGGTGTGTCCTCACGAGGCAGAAAAAGTGAGCTCTCTGGTGTTGTTCTTATAAGGGAACTAATTGCACGGTGGGGACCCCAGCCTCATGACCTAATCTAACCTTCATTACCATCCAAGGTCCCCTCTCCAAATACCATCTCACTGGGCATTAGGGCAGCAACAAATAATTTTAGGGGACGCAATTCAGTCCATAGTGATTCTAAATTATTTTCCTCCAACACTTTTTATAAAAATACTCAAATATATAGAAAGGCAAAGGAACACAACAAACACCTATCTGTTATCCACCTAGATGGCAAGTTGTTAGCCCTTTGCTATTTGATTTTGTATTACACTCTCTCTCTCTTTCTTTCTCTCTCTCACTCACCTAACTGCAGAATCACTTTCAAGTAGGTTGCAGACATCCTGTGTATTGTTTCTGACATACATAGACATTCCCTACGTAATACATAACCCCATTGTCACATCTCAACGTTAACAATAGCGCCGCAGTATTGCTGGTGGTATTATGGCTTTAGGGTACTCAACCCCTTGAGAGTTTAATTCCTTCTTCTCTCCCCACCTTGCCCTGTTGTGTGGCTCATGTCCAGCGAGTAGCCTCTGTCAGAAGTGTTGGATGCTGCATTTGAGATTGGGTTACCGAAAGGCTGGGGTCCTGTTCTAGGCGCTCTCTCTTGAGACATTGCTTGAGACCAGCTGCCACGTGGGGAGGACATCCTGCAGCCTGTGGTGAGCCCACGTGGCCAGAAATGGAGCCCTCTTGACTTCCACGTGTGTGAACCTGGCAGTGAGTCCTTCATTCAATGATAAATTATCCAGGCTTGAAATTAAGGAAGAAATTAACATTTATCTATAAAAATGCATACCTGAAAAAAGGCAGTGGGACATGAAAATGTGTTGTCAGAGTGCATTAAAAATACAGAACTTGCTCCTTTTCTTATTTAAGCACCTTTGCCTCTAGATGACTGATGAGATGATGCTCAGATTTTGAAACACATTTGATTTGAGATAAAGCTCCTGCCCAAAGAGCAAAAATCGTGAAAAGATCGGGCTGTATAAAGCTTGAACCCCTCATGGGCTTTGACTTCAAAGATTTGTAACTGAAAAACACTGTCAAGCAGCGTTACTGACACATTAGTGATGTCAGGAAGAGTTTGACAGTGTTTTCTAAAACTCCATTTGTGAGGGGGAAACTTACTTGCTTAATGAAGTTCAGAATGACTGCAGAGGTAGAGGTATCCAGGGTATTCTCCCAGACTTAGCTTCTCTGATTTTCTTAATGACTCTAAGTAAATGAAAATTAACTTAATTAACTTATTGCTTAACTTGTTAATTAAATTAATAAGCTTAGTTAAGTTAGGAAAATTTCCCAAATAGAAATGGAGATGATTTATTATACGGATGGAAAATAAATTACTCCAAAATCTTCAATAATTGATATTTACAACTGTTTTGGCAACCATCAAAGACTGGTGCTCTTTCTCTTGGTTCTCCCCAAATAATCCAGCTTTGAGAGAAGTTGTCACTTTCTCTGCACAAGCCTCGCACACAGTTCCTAAAGGTGGCAGAAGTTCAAATCGGTGGATGAGAAATTAAATTTACATACTGTATTTCACCTCTATTCTTGCTTGTTACAGTTTACATTTTGCTTGATTCTGTTGACTGCAGTTGAAAATAGGTTTTGAGGTCAAATAGGCCTGGGCTTAGAAGGATGCATCTTCCGCTCTCTTGGCTGCTTCTTTTGCAATAGTGACTGTAAGAGGGAAGAACAGAGGCACAACTGAGCAGCGGGACTAAGAGGTGAGGTCATTGTTCTGCCTCTAGAACCATTTGACTGTGATACGAGGCCTGGGACTTGATCTCCGTGAACCTCAGTTTCTAGTCTATGAAATAGGTCTGTGAAAATTGCTTAATTTAAGAATCTGTCTCTTAAAATAGTTAAAGGTGAATGGCAGGCTACATGTGAAATACTTGGGACATGCTTAGCACATCATTGATACTCAAGTGTTTTCATCTCCCACTTGTAGTTACCTGCTTTTATTTAAGGATGGAAACCAACATAGGAGCATGGCATAAGAGCACGGGCATACAGAGTATTTCCTGGACATGAGAAATAACTAGCCAGGATAAGTTCCTAAAGAAATTAAAGGCCTCTTCACAATCCTGGAATCACATTTTGGGAAGTTACCCTGAGGTCTTTTAGAATCTAGATCATTTAACTATTGATATTTATGTGGAATAAGAATCATCTTAAAGTGCCCCTGACTAGCTAGTGTCCAGCTTTTCCTTGAACTCCTCCAGAGACAGGGAACTCACTACTGTACAAGGAGGTCCACCTCTTCTTTATGTGGTTCTAATGGTTTGGCAGTTCTTATAGCAAGTCAGGAACAGAATCCTTATAATTCACATCCTTGTCCTGGTTCTATCGTAATGAAGCTTCACAGAATAAATAGAAATCCTTCTTATGGTTAACCTTCAAGCATATGGAGACATATATCATGAATTTCTGAGTTTTTTCCCTGGATAAACACCCTAGATCTATCAAATTTTTCTTACATGAATTTTCTTTCTTACCATCTTTGAGGTCTGGAGAGTTCTAGCTCCTGTTCTAGCCATATCTATATCTATATATTTATCTATATATATCTATCTAGCCTTATATTAAGTATAGTTTACATTATATATATTTCATATATAGTTTATATATACTATATAGCATATAGTATATTTTATTATATATTATAGTTTATATATTATAATTAATATAGTGTATATTGTATATTATATATAGTTTTATATATAGTATATGTGTATACAAATGTCTACACAAATACGCAAATATATATAAATACATATACACAAATAAATATATATATACACACACACACAAATATTTATATACAAATTTTACTTTGGAGTCACAATATATAAAGCTATAAGACTTCAAAGTAAAATTTAAAACCCACTGTTCTACTTCTAGTCTAAGTCTTAAGCTGTTGCTTTAACTTCTGATAATTACCATTAATATTTTAAAATAATTCACCAATCTAATATATTTTGTCTTTCTCCTATGAAACATGAGGAATATAAGGACTTCTACTTTTTACTCCCCCTTTCTTCTTTTCTGAATTATATTATTATTCTATTATACATTATCTTATTATTGTATTTACATTATGAAGGTCTGTCACATTCACATTTTGTTCTGTAACAGTATAAAGTCTTCAATGCTTTATCTTTAGTTGCAGTCTACAAATTTAAAATCCATTGCAGCAGCATTTAAAATAGCATGATTACATAAATACTTTTCTTATGTGTCTAATCTTAGCATGCTATTCTGACCCCATTCTATCTTCCCAGTGCCCCTCTTTAAAAAAATGCCCAGCTGGGAACTGTCCATGGTCCTCCAGGCACAGGCTGACCAGTTCAGGGCAGAGTTTGCAGTCAGCACTCCAGCGAAGTGAGGGACAGTGTGGTCTTGCGGGCAGCTACATTCCTTGTCATCTTGTATTGAGTTTGCCAATAATGAGAATTTTGGACTTAAGCTGAATTCTTGTTATTTTCCAAGGTTGATGATGCTGCTGGGACAGCTCAGATATGGAAAAAGTCTTCCTCATTTTGAAGTAAAATGGTCCTCTGCAACATTAGTCCACGAGAGCATGACCTCTGGCAGAAATAATCTGCATTATTGTCTTTCAATTATTTGAAAACATCTACAGGAGAAATGCTCTAGTTCTTTTAGTATTTCTTCTTATGACATGGTTTCAGAATCAATGTCATTCCCTTTCCTATGCTCTGAATTGACTCTAACAACAGATACTAGAAGTTTGAACAAGGCATTGTGTTGTGAGTAAGCTGTGGTGCACAATAGTTAAAGTGTGGCCAGCTCTTCATAAAGTTCTTGTGACAATTAATGTTTTACTGTCTCTTACAAGCAATGAGTGACGTGGACATTTTTTGCCTTAGCACTTTTAATTTTATCTTCCTAAAAAGTTTATTATAACACACTAGAAACTTACTTAACCATTGTGTCTTTGACATCCTTTTTGCTGAGATTGTTTTCTTTGCGGCCCACTTCCCATCTGCCTTTTAGCTTCCCTGATCATTCACTTAAAAGTCAGTGTTTAAGTTGTGATTTCCAGGACAGCGCTTGAATCATTCTGGCTGCCACTGTAACTCTGTTCTCAAAATTAAAACTTTTTCAATAAATATTTTTATAATTCTAATTTGAGTTAATAAAGATTTGAAGAATATTTTCAGTTTTCTTATGAGTATACATACAAAAATGTTAACTATTTTGTTGAGCATATTTTTAATAGCATAAAGTTTTAATATTTGAAAACTCTATCTTTCTAAATTTATGTTTTGGTTGTAGTCTAGTAATACCATATATAGAGCTATAATTATAAATATTATAGATTTTGTATTAATGGTACAAAAAATACTTTTCCTTAGCAACAAAATCCTTCACCATCATGCCAAAAAGCATTTATTTTTCAAGCAATCTGCGGGTCAATTTTTCTTTATTTCCAACCAATTGCCAACCAAGACCTTTTAAAGCTCTGAAAATGAAGTGATAGAAAAAGTTATTTAAAAATATATATAAAGCACAAGTCTAAATTTTAAGTGTTTGAAACCACAGACATACAATTAAATTCAGTAAATAAATCAGAATAAACATGGGGAAATAAGAGAATTACATAATTGTATTATATATATATATACTGCTGAACAAATATTTATTTTTCTTTGAAAATATGGTATAAGATTACTATAGAGAATACTATTTTGCTGATACTATAGTATATTAATATCTGAATAAAAAGTTATGACCAGAAATCCTTGTATTGAAGTCCTTTATCCTCGCTTCTGATGAACACCACTTAGGTCAACATTTAAAGGTTTTCGTTTTTGATGAATGAACTAGATTCTTGCTTGTCAACATGTCATCTTGATTGGACTGATGAAAATGCTACTTTCAGGGAATAATATATATGAACTCTTCTTGTGTTTCACTTTTAAAGCATTTACAATAAAAAAAAAAACCAGTCTCACAGAGGTTTGTTGACCAGAGAAGAGGTTTTATTTATAACTTGTTTCCAAAATGAAACAAGTGTGTTTTCAAAAATCCATTTTCAAATCTCTATGTAGAGAGTTTTATCGATTTACTTTGAAAAAGTACTGTTAAACTTAAATTATGTTTTGGTGGAAATTTAAATTATCTTTTGATGAAAGAAATGGATTGTGGATTTTATATACTTTTCACTTTCCAATTACAGTTGGCAAACTAACCTTAAAAAACCACATGTTGGAACATATTCTTACTTGCGCAACACACATGTTCATGCCACCTGTCACTTAACGTTTGAATTCAGCAGACCTGAAATTGTCCATACTTTCTTCAAAAATTGAGGTTAATACTCTCAGCCACAAAAAGTTACTTAAAAGACACATCACCCAAAGGAGTGATAGTGAAGGCAAAGATAAACAGCTGGGACTACATCAAATTAAAGAGCTTCTGTACAGCTGAAGAGACAGTAACCAAAATAAAGAGACGCTCCACCGACTGGGAGAACATTTTTGCACACAACACTAATGATAAAGGACTGATCACAAAAATCTACAAAGAGCTGATGAGACTCAACAAACACAAAGAAAATAATCCAGTCAAAAAATGGGCAGAAGAGCTAAAAAGAAACTTCTTCAAAAAGGAAATGCAAATGGCCAACAGGCATATGAAAAATGTTCAACATCACTTGTAATCAGGGAAATGAAATCAAAACTACGAGATACCATCTCACACCAGTGAGAATGGTACATATTAAAAAACTAGCAACCACAAATGTTGGCCAGGATGTGGCGATAAAGGAACTCTCCTGCGCTGATGATGGGAGTGCAAACTGGTCCAACCACTATGGAGAGCTGTGTGGAAATTCCTCAACCTGCTAAAGGTGGAGCTTCCATAGGATCCAGCAATTCCACTCCTAGGTATTTACCCAAAGGACACAGAAACATTAATTCCAAAGAGCACCTGCACCCCTATGTTTATAGCAGCACTATTTACAATAGCTAAGCTATGGAAACAACCCAAATGCCCAAAAATAGATGACTGGATCAAGAAGATGTGGCACATATGCACAATATTATACATCTATCAAATCTTCTTCTATCAAAAAAGATAAACTCATGCAATTTGCAGCAACATGGATGGAGCTGGAAGGGATCATGCTTAGCGAAATAAGCCAGAAAGAAAAAGAAGAAAAATACCGGATGGTCTCACTCATAGCAGGAATCTAAAAAATCTAAATAAGGGACCAGGAAAAAAATACTAATTATAATAAAGTAAAATTCAAAATCAACAAGCAATTATAAACCAGAGACACTCTATGGGGGGGTGGTGAGGAGAAGGGAGTAGGATCAAAACAAGGGGGGGTGGGAATTGTATGGGGACTATAACCAAGATGAAAATGCATACATTGTGCAAAAATGAAAAATGATGTAAAAAATATATAAAATAAAATGAAAAAAAGTTACTTAATAATACCTGAAGGTACATTTTCAATTACCTGCATTCCACCTAAATAATTATACATCACACTATTAAACTAATTGTTACACTTAAAAAAATGATGTCAAATTGCTACAAATAGGATTAAATTTTCAACCTTAATTTCTGCAATTACCTTGTTAGGACTGGGAACATTTGCAGGAGAGGCACCAGACTGTAAATTACATTTTGCATATATTGGTCTGCGAGATTTTTAATCTATATTAAGATTTGAACCCTGGAACAGAACTCCAGACTCCAGGTTTGTTCTAGTTCAAGGAAAATCCAGTCTCCCTTATTCTGGATACTTCTACTAATGTTGCCAAGATTAGTGTTTTATGCATTCATATCCTTATTAACTCAGTACTTTATTTAACAATGTTTTTTAAATTTTAGCTATTTATGTTATTGAAATAATGTTGGGTTACAACATATATGTGTTTTAGGGATACAAACTGACATCTCTTTGGTGTCTGTTACTATGCCACACCTAACACCAAAGCACACCTAATGCACTATAGCTCGTTGGGCCCCACACCCCCTTCATTCCCCACCTCATCCTTGCCCTCCTGTAGCCTCAGTTCTACAGCCAGATTTGTAGGGTTTGTTACTGTGTTGGTTTTGTCTGACTCTCTTGTTTCTCTGTACTCCACATATTGGTGACACCACCTGCCATGTCTCTCTCCTTCTGACTTATTTTGATTAGTATAACCCCCTCCAGTTCCATCCATGTCGTCACTGATGTCAGGAGTTCATCTTTGTTCTGTAGCTGAGGAGTGTTCCACTGTGTATGGACCACATCTTCTTAGGGTGCTTCCATTACTTGGCTTTTGTAAAAAACCATCGGGGTGAACATCGGGGTGAATATATCCCTTTGAAGTGTGTATTTGCATTCATCACGTAGATACCACAAGTGGAATTGTTGGGTCATATGGCAGATCTGTTTTCAATTTTTTGAGACCCCTCCATGCTGTCTTCCGCAGGCACTGGACTAGTCTACACCGCACCAGTAACGGATGAAGGCTCTTTTTCCTCAATCCTCTCCAACACCTGTTTCTGGTGTTTTTGAGGTGGTCTGTTCTCACAGGTGCATTGTGGTTTTGATTTTCATTTCCCTGATGATAAGTGACGATGAGCGTTTCTTCATGGCCTGTTGGCCATCTGTATGTCTTCTTGGGAGGAGTGTCGACTTCTGCTCATTCTTTTGATGAGTTTTTTGTTGTTGTTGTCGTGTGAATACTTTGTAGATCTTGGATGTTAATTGCATGAAAATGTATGATGTGCAAACGTTTTCCCCCGTTCTATAGGGTGTCTTTTTGTTTATTGATCACTTCTTTCACTGTGTAGAAGCTTTTTATTTAACCCCATTTGTTTATTTTTGCTTTTGTTTCCCTTGCCATTGGAGTTGAGACCCACAACCGCTGTTGTGGTGTGTTTTGCCTAGGTTTTCTTTTATGTATTTTATGGTTTCAGGTCTTGCATCTAAGACTTTAATCTGGTTTGAGTTAACTGGTAGTGGATGTTGACTAGATGTTTTGTGGAGATCATTTAGCAATACATACAAATATTGAATCATATTGCATACCTGAAAATAATATATTATTATATCTTATAATTATATAATTACTATACAAATATGCCATAATTATGTAATTATATCTTATACAATTATATTTATAATAATTATATAAAACTATTATGGTAACATATAGCTATTATATCATATATCATGCCATATGAGGTATATATTATAATTGTTATGTTCTATATAAATTTATCCTGATCATAACATATATCAATATAATAATTATATATTATATTGTATAATAATTGTATACTTACTGTAAGTTTATATTACATTGTAATTATATACATTATATCTCAATAAGAAAACAAAAACCACACAAACTTTTGAATGGTTCCATGCATTTAACTAGAAAGCTAACTTGAATGTCTTAATCATATTATTTACAAATGTTTTGTTGAAATTAAGTCTGAAGGGGTCATTATTCATTTGCTGTGTGGTAGGCCTGAGTCTAAAGATTTTTTTTTTTAAAGATTTTATTTATGCATGCAAGTATACAAGAACTGGGGTACAGGCCAGAGGTGTGGGAGGGTAAGAAGATTCGCCAGAGACAGAGCGGGGAACAGAACAGGCAGACTGACTGAAATACACTGCCGAGGGGAGCAGCGGGTGAGACAGGAGCGGTCTGCTGCGCCATGTGGGTAGCTCCCTGGCCGGGGATTGAACTTGCGCTTCAGAGGCTGTGGACAGCTTCATAGGTTGTGTCTTAACCCTTTGCACCACCAGGGAGGCCGTAAAGATTTGTTAATTAAAAAACTTTTTAGAATTAATCCTTGCCACCATCTGTATAGGGCCCAACCTCATCTGCAAATGTGATTTCCTTGCGGAGGTCAGCCCTTATTTGGCTCTGGAGCTGCTAGCTTCTCCTCCTGTGTGTCAGTGCGATCTGACTGAGGTCCCAGGTCTCCACCGGCAACACCCATGTCATAGTACTTCGGTGTATCCTTGAGGTAACCATGCAACCAGGCTCCACTCTGGCTGCTCGCTCTGATAGCTGGGCAGGTAATTGCATTTTCAGTCTGAGGACATCTGTTTTCATCCCAGTGTCCCTGAGTCCTGAAACACTTCACAGAGCGTCAGGGGAGCGGCTGTGTCCAAGGCCTCCTCACGGGCGCCTGAATCTGCGTTTCATGGGAGAAAGAGCTTGTGGTTCACTGGGCTGAAATGTGGCCAGCAGAGAAACCTGACCAGCTCTTATGTCCCACTAAATCCAACGATGACAAATGAATTTTCTGATTTTTATGAGACAGAAGTGCTGGTGCGCTGGACTTGTTAAAGGGGACTGTTTTGGTCCTTGTCTCTAAGGCAGCAAGACAACATCTGATGTAGGGGTGGAAAAATTCCTCCTAGCTGAAATGCTTTGTGTTTCTTGGTCTTCTGGTGTAAACTGCCAGTTGATTAATTTACTGCAAACTGCCAGGAACTCCATGTGTCTGATATATTTTTTGTGTATTTTGAACGTTTTTGGGTAAATATATGGTTAACAATAGCACTCTATTGGCTAGCGAAACAGCCCCTGTTTTTCATTAGGGGTTTTCTCTCAATAGGGGTTAGCAAACATATTATCAAACATATTATCTAGAATTGTTGAGGATTAGGGTTCACTTTTCTCCCCGGATTATTGCCTTTATGACACTAATTTTTTAAAAAGATTTATTTGTTGCATACAAGAACAGGGGTATAGGCCAGATGCACGGGAGGGTGAGAGGATTCACCAGAAACAGAGCGGGGAGCAGAACAGGCAGATCCACTGAAATACACTGCTGAGGAGTTTTTTGAACCACACATTAGATTGTGGGTTTATTATTACCTGTGCTGAAACTGGTTACTCTAATTGAACAGCTATTATGTTCTGAAAAGAAATCTGTTCAGTGTTAAAATATTGTATTTGTAGTAAAGTATCCTTGACTCTTTATGGGTCATAATTTAATTAGCAGCAGTAGGGGAATTCCTGTGCAAAGAGAACAGTTTGCAAAGAGAATGAGGAAATGAAGCTGTTGGGAGGACCTTGAAAGCAAGGTCCCTTGCTTTTCAACAAAATTTCAACAAAATAAGGGCATTGTTAGTTGACTTATTCCCTCTTTCCCTACCTATCCACTTCATGACTTTCCTTACAAGTTGATATCTGGAACCTCCTGGATTAAAAAAAAAATCACCATAAGAAAAAAAGAGTAAGATACTTTCTTTTCTATAAAAAGTACCCTTTCAAGTAACACTTGTCCCATCTCCAAGCTGTTGGAGGAAAGAAATCCCTTTTAAAGTCCAGTTCTAACAAAAGGTTATATTTTAACTAGCAGCCTGAAAGGTTTACTGGCCAGTTTCAAGGGGAGAATCTGTTATTTAAAGATATTGTTTCTTTTTAGATATTTTTTCCCCAACATTATTTTTAATAAAAACAAGATTTTTTTGTTGATAGTTAACTAGGTAGCAGTACTACAGCAGTGCAGGTTAACCAGCTGCTTAATGTTATTTGATGTGAATTCATGTATTTTGGAACTTGATATCAACAAGTGGGTTGGATTTTTTTTTTTATGAATGTTAAAGACGTCCCCTTACGTCCCTTTGGACCATTTTAGATTATGATAAATTGAATTAGGTGCACAGGCAATATCCTTTGATGATCTTTGTTACTTGAATGAACCTAAATTATATGTACTATATTCTTTAAAATTGTTATTTTCTGTGTGACACTATTTCCTCTGCTTTGAATCCCTCTACCCACCAAATGACTCGGTATTTCTGTCTCTTTTCTTCAGGAGCTAGAAATATTAGTGTTCTCTTTACCAGACAAGAGGATACATAATCAATGACTAGTGAAGGAAAAATCTGATACTCTACTACGCAATGATTTTTAAAGAGACGACTACTCTGTTATTTTAAATATTATTGAGGCATCTTTATTGAAATAATTTTTAGTACCAACTTTTGCTACCCTTTATTCAAAACTAGTTTCCATGTATGCCAAAGTCAAGAACGGATAGTCTATGTGCCAGTTGAGTCTACTATATGTTAGCCAAAGATCTGTTGTCATTAACTCTTTTCAGAGGTCCACAGAGAAATGGCTTCCATGTTTTTTATTTTTTCAGCCAAGATTTTATATCCCTTCTCTTATCTAGAGGCCTAAATTCACCTGACACAGCCTTTGCAAGAGACAAGGGGATTGAGGTTAAAACTGGAGCAAGCATTCAACGCGCATCCTCAAGTCACTGATTACTTAGGGAAATGAAGTTAGTACAGGTGTCCTTCACTGGGTGCTAATGTTATTCTCTCACTTTCTGGAATCATTTTAGGACTTGCTCTGTGCTGCAGAGGCAAGAGAAGCTCTGGAAAGGGAAGTTAAAATCTTCCGAGACAGGCTGCTTGTTGGGCAGCGGGCCTGGGATGCCTCGAAGCAGGAGCTGAACCTCTTGAGGAAAAGTTCGTGTGACCTGGAGAAGAGTTTGAAGGCCAGTCTGGAGGCAGCCACGGCCTCGCAAAGCCAGTATTCCTCATTTAGGGGGAAAATCACAGCTCTTCTTGAGGGCAGCTTGGGCGTGGCTGGGTCCACAGAGGACGCCATTTTGGAGAGGATCCGAGAGATGGGCGTCCAGGAGGAGAGCAGGAAAAAGGTGAGGGGCTGGCTGGTGGCTGCTTATGACCTTTTTTTAAAAAAAAAATTATTCATACAAGAGCTGGGGTACAGGCCAGAGGTGCGGGAGGGTGAGAGGATTCACCAGAAACAGAGCGGGGAGCAGAACAGGCAGACAGACGAAAGCACTGCTGAGGGGAGCAGTGGGCGAGGCAGGAGAGGTCTGCCGCGCCATGTGGGTAGCTCCCTGGCCGGGAATCGAACCCCCACTGCAGAGGCTGCAGACAGCTTCACAGTGCTGCGCTCAACCTGCTGCACCACCGGGGAGGCCCTGTTTATGAACTTTTAAAGAGCAGTAAACTCATTTGTTTAGCAGTCTCCACTGAACTAGTTAAAAGTGTCATTAAAATGTGTTCATATTACTTTCAGTGATATATTAAGGCGTCTGGGGGCCACTCAGGGCACAGTGGTATAGATTCTGGAGTCACACCCGTCATGCACGCACTCACCTCAGTGGGACTGAGGGTCGGTTCCTCAGACAACCGCCTCTGAGATTTGGTGCCCTGACGTGCCATACAGGGGTTGACCCAGAGGCCACTCTTTGTTATGTGCAAAGCCGGGGGGTGGGGTGTGTGTGTGTCAATGTGGTTTTGAATTCAGAATTGTTCAGGGCTTAGACAGGTAAATAGCACACAGAAAAATCACAGAGAAAGCAGCTCACACATACTCTGCCGTGGGGTCTGGGGCAACACCCCTTCATCCGTCACATTCATGATTCTGTAGCCGCCCCCCAGCAGCCCCACCAACCCTGGTTCCCGAGACAAGTGCCCTCTGGTCACGTCTGGTCAAGGTTGGCCACTAAAACCCATCAGGTCAGGCTTTCGGTGACAGTGGGTTACTGGAAAGGTGGTCAGTCCGACCTTTTGGATTTTGGAATTGCAGATAATGGTTCCTAGACCTGGACAGGTCTGCCTTGGAGGGTTGTTGCGTGCTGTAAGCATTAAATGAAAAAAAGTTAAGTTCTTAACACACTGACAAATAACAATAATATTAGGCGGTTGCTGTCCTTGCTTCACCTCCTCACCCCGCCTTCCCGCCTCCTCTTAATAATGTGTGGTGTGTAGATCAGTCTTTGATGAGAAGTGAAGAAAATTGGTTTAATTCACAAATATGATTGAAGTCTGTTTAGTTTCATTGTCTTGTTTATACTATGAATCATTCTCAATGTCTACAGAATTGTTTAGCAGAGCCAGCTTCAGCCCAGATCCCATTTAAATGATCACCAAATCCCAACTATTAAAGTCATAATGAATGAGGTTTTAAAGTAAATAATATTCAAATTCTATGTTAGAAGGAATTATTTAGGAATTATTACTTCTACTCCCTAGGAATAGAATTCCTTAGGAATTCTTTCTTCTACTGAGTTCATGCTTGTTCCAAGGGAGGAAATACACCTCTGTGTCTTTTGATGTGCCTAAAATTTCAGATTGTGGCTAACTCAGAATTCAGGGGTGCAGTTATAAATTTACTGTAACGATCAAAAATTTTCACTCCATTTGCAAATTCTCCAGTGCTTGTGTTTGCTTTAGGAGCAGCCCAAGTTGCTGATCTCCGAGAGTATTTTTTCTTGTGCGTCACTGCACCTATAGCTAGCTACTGGATTAGGGAAAGAAGTTAGTGATTGAGTTACCTCCAGTAGCCAAAGGTTCTTTGCCATTTCATTTCTTTGAATTACTGCTTTTCCCTTCTATTTTTCCAAATGTTTTCCAAAAGCCATTTTAATTTTAGCATGTGAAGCACAGCATAAAATTGTCAGCACGATGTATATGTTTATTTTCTAAAGCAAAATGAAAGGAATTGGTTGAACTGGGTAGGCTGCCCCCCACTCCCCATAAAAAATTAGGATGATTCAGAGTCTTTTTAGTGCCTTTGTCTGCCTTTCCTACCCTGTAATTTTTTTCAATAGATGCTCTCACTGTTTAAAAGCCTGAAATCAGGCATATAGCTGGCGTCTTGTGTGACTCATCTTCAAGTAAAATCAAGAGAAAACGGATTTCGTATATTGTCTTAGAAATGTTTCTGAACAATGGGAGCTTTACAAATTGATGAATCTGCTTGTTGAGGAGGCTGTGTTCCCCCTGCCAGGGGCCGTGGTTTACATACACAGCAACAGTTGAATAATACCCCCCCTGAAGACCCAGTGGTGGGGTCAGGCTTGGTCTGGCAAATTCTCCATTTCATGTCAACTCATTCTTCCTGAACATTCCTTTTTCTGTTTACCCCTTTGCTATTCATTTTCACTCTCCTATATTTGCAGTTCTCAGTAGGATTCAGGACACCACCCACACTTTTTCAATAAGTCATTTCTACTTGTTCCTTGCTTTTCTGCTTAGAGCAAAATCTAATTTTCTTTTTAAAAGCTCTATTATATCTTAAAGGAGGGCGCTCAGCCTTGGCACTACTGATGTTTTGGACTGGAGAACAGTTTGTGGGGGCTGTTCTGTGCATTGGGAGATGTTTGTCGACATCCCTGGCTACTCCCCACTAGATACCAGTAGCACCCTGCCCCTACCTCCTACTTTGTGACAACCAAAGATATCACCTGATATTGTAAAATGTCCTCGGGGTCAGGGGGCAAGGACTATCACCCCATTTCAAACCACTGTATCAGAGGAATATTCTACTTCTAGGAATTCTAAATGAGTATTTAGATGCTATTTAGCCTTGAAACTTCAGCAAACTTCCTCAAAACAGGTGTTTTTGAAGTAACGATTTCTTGCACAATAACATAGAACTGTGACATTTCCAGATTTCAGTTTCTAATTTTGAGGCAAATCCTTCGTCGCTCTTCCTTTTAGATGCTTCCTGACTGGCTAAGTACGTGAATGAGAATTATGTGCACAGAAGATGTGACCATGGAGTTCTATGTCCTTTCCTAAGTTAAATATCAACACAAATCAAATCACGCTGCAGACATTTATCTAGACAGCTCTTTTGTTCCGCTCTGGGCAAACCTAAGGCTTTCTTTCTTCCATGAGGGTGTTTCTTAATCTGGGAGCTGTGAGTATCCGGCTTTGTGCCCTAAAGGAGCTCGGATGTGCTCTGCAGTCTTGCTGAATTCGCCTCTGATTTCATTGTTCTACTTTGTTCTTAATTCTCTAATCTACTGAAGATAATGTTTACCTGGAAGCCTCAACAGCTGCCCACTGACATTTCATTGTCTCAAGCTGTGTTACACTGTCACCCTTGGATGCCAGGTGTATCTGGGAGAGCCAAGAGGATTTAGCTTACTCAGCCACTATTATGCATTCTTCCGTAGGATGGCCGTAACAACACACCACTGACTGGGCGGCTTAAGCAACAGAAATTTCTGGTCTTGTGTTTCTGGAGGCTCAAAGTCCAAAATCAAGGTGTCAGCAGAGTTTGTTTCTTCTGAGGGCTGTGAGGGAGAATTGAGTTCATACCTCTCACCTGGTTTCTGGTGGCCTCAGGCATTCCTTGCTTTATGGAGGGTATTTTCCTCTTCCTCTTCACATTTCCTTTTTCTTAAGCTGTCTCTTAAGTTCAAATGTCTCTTTTTACAAGGAAGTGGCAGCATTGGATCTACTGCAATGACCTTATTTTCACTTGATTATCTCTGCAAATGCTCTACTTCCAAATAAGGTCACATTCGGAGGTACTGGGGAATTTAAGCATATCTTTTTTGGGGAATATCCAATTCAACCCATAACAAAGTTAACATACACAAGGTGGAGGGGATAGCATCGGCCAATCCGGTGTTGTCCACACACACTGCCAAGAAGAAAGGAGAATTTGACGTTCTCTTCCTGGCACCTGATAACTTATCTTCTGTATTTCCTAAGTAGAAACTGCAACTTGGATAATTAGGAAAGAGTTATGTCCAGAAGGTCCTTCAGTGGTCCTTAGGTGACCAAGGACTTCTTTCTTCAGTTTAGAATTCTTGTGCTTCCATTTGATTTAATCTTAGGACAAAGTGCTCTCTGGTGAAATCAATAACTACTTGTCCTTGGGAAGTGAATTAATTCTTGTAGGGCATTATGACTTTATTTCCAAGCTGCTTGTTTTTGAAGTATAGTTTACTTTAGTGCCCTTTTGTTTAAAAAATTGGGGTATGTATTCTTTATTATAATCTCCCCCTCTCCTTCCATCCCTACTTATCTAGTGTTGAGATCCCTGCACACTTTGTCCCACAGTGTATCGAGGCTATCTTAACACGTGATACTAAGAAAAAGAAGACAAAGAAAATGAGATGCTTATTGATTCTCTAGACTTCTTGGTGAGAAAAACAGAACAAGAATGCTCAACTTTGGCAGAACACATATGTTCACCCAGGCACTGGTATTTGCTGTTCCCAAGAACTTAGTCATATTGGAACGTTAGTTTATTAGAATAAACTTAGGTAGATTTAGTTCTGAAAAGACGTGGTGTCATCATATGCACTGACCTAAATAAGCTTATGAAGCTAAGTTCTGTGATGCAGAGATTGTGGGGAAGTTCTCAGCTGTTTGGTCCTCTCTGGAGACCAGAATCTTGATAGGGCATTTGGGTGGGTTCCTTGTAGTCCAGTTTTCTACCTACTGGTGGTTTTAAAAGTTACACTTAGTTGAATCTTCAAGTTCTGCAGCACATCCTGGGAGACCCAAGGATGAGGATGCAGGAGGTGCTTTGTCATCTTTGATTCAATATATTTATCCCTTATTTGTCCATTCTAGAAAGATTTCTAGTTGAAAAACAGGCTCTGCAGGCTGAAGATTATCAGAGAAAAGTGATTCAGGACAATTCCTTGAAGGGCCTTCTTAACTTTTTATGCAAAAGAATAGGACTGGCTGAACTCACCTCCCGGTGTCACAGTACTGAAGATAAAAATGCATGCAATGAGTTGAGCTTCCAGTGGGTGTGTTATTGGGTAGAATGAGGGGGCACCCTAGGACCCTCAAAACTGCCTGCTCTAAATGGGTTCTGCCATCCACCACATAAAGACAAACATACTCAAGTACATAAGACCTTCAGTATAAAAGAACTTTAATACAATTAGTGTGCAATGAGAGAAGAGAAAGAGTGTAGTTAAAATAATTTCCCCATGAAACACCCAAGTTACCCATCCCTTGTGGGTAAATGCCCACCAAGCAGGGTTGGCCCAAACCAGGGCCACTGAGGTGCAAAAGCTTGCCACAAGTCCAAGTCACCTTTTGCCAGGGACCCACAGGAAAGGGGCTGAAGGGGCCCGGCAAGTCTGGAAGGAAAGGAGCAAAATCAAAATACAAGTCAAGGTAAAGGCTGCCATCGTCAGCCTCCCCACGGGTCTCTCCATTCAAGTGTCTCCTTCCGTGTCCCCCAAGTCTCTGGCTGAGGAGCAAGTGCTTCTTCTTCTTGACATGTCTCATGTGCTTCTCCAGGTTTTCTCTTCATCCCATTCTAGTCCTTCACCCCGTCTTTGCTCTGCCCTCTACTAGCTTCTCCTCCCTGCCCAGCTCTACCCTTCCTCAGGGGGGGCAAGGAACCTGGAACCTCCCCTTTCTCTGGGGATTACACTGTTTAGGTGTGAAATACTCTGTTACTCAGATTACCTAAACCAGCTCATCTGATCCTATTAAAGTCTGTGAACTTAGAATTCCTGGTCTCAGTGAACATACAGGTGAGTGGGGACTGGAAACCAGGACTATTTGAGTCCAAGCTTCCTGTCCCACAGTCTGCCCTGCATCAAGATGTCGCCTCTTCTGTCAGGTCACTATCACTCCTTAGTCTAACCGACTCTAGCTGACTGAGGTGTCGTGGTCAAAATGGTGTCTTTCTCGGTTGATTCCCATGGAAGACTTCGCTTTGCTCTGTAAGGTCTGCAGTGTGCCGACTGTGGCTGTGCCATCACAGAGTTCGCAGTCTCTCCTGCTAAGGGTTTTTGTGTTTGTTATCTCTTTGGTGTCATTCTCTTTGCCAGGTCAACAGTGGGGCTGGAAAAGTGTGGAAGGCTCTTCCTGAGGACAGACTCACTTCCTACCTGGAGGGCAATGTGAAGCCACATTTATGGTGGTGCAGAAACCTGATATTTTGTGTAATATAATAGTGTTAAACAGTCTTCCCTGCTCCCTCCTTCAAACCACCCCCCCCTCCCCACCAAACAGGTATTGAGTGATGATCTTTGGTTTTGTAGGTTTCTTTGTTGTGCCAAGATACGCAAACCATTTCCCTTGCATTAAGATCAGATTTATTCCTAGTTAGTAAGTCCTGAGAGGATGAAATATGAGAAGAGGGTTCTCAGATTCACATTCTGTAATGAAATTCAGAATTTCCATGGGAAACATCATTACTCAGATGCAGTGCTGAGCAGTTTGCCATCAACTGTCTGATTTCAAGCACCCACAGAAGTACAGAGTTAATTGAATTAGAGGCCTGGACCTTGAGAGCCATAGAAGGAAAGGATTATAGAGTTTAGAGCACAAGTAGTCTAACCTTCCTTATTGTACCACTTTGATTTCCCCTATAACATTCTTAACAAATGATTGGTCAGCTTCCAGCCCTTTCCAGCAACTGGGAGTTTACTAACTGATGTGGGAAGAAAATTGCATGTGTGATATAATCTAAAAATTAGCAATGTATAAAAATAAATTACTTAAAGGTATTAATAGTTGTTGCTTCTGAATGATAGGATCATGGGGATTATTTTTTGCTCATTTATACTTTTTTTGGTCCTTAATCAGTCTTTTACAGTGGCCTGCATTACTATGTAATTATGAGGTTTGGAGAAACATTGGTTACATCCAAGTAGAATTCTTTTGCTGATTTATACCTTTTGGTCTTCAACTCAAGCTCTGACAACTAAGAACAAGTCTTAATTGTGCTTTCAAAATGTTTGAAAACAACTAAATGTTTGCTCACCTTCAAGCATGTTTTTTTAAAAATAGGGAAACAGAACTTAAAAATAAAACTCACTTTGTGCATTTGTTTTTTATCTTTATTTTTATAATTAATTTTTTTATTGAGGTAATCTTGATTTACAGCACTGTATATATTTTAAGGATATAGATTCATACCTCTTCAAATGTATGGTCCCACACCTTGCCCACCACCAGAGCAGCAATAATCCTCCACCATAGTTCATTTTTCTTATAGCCTCAATTCTGCAGTCTGATTTCTAGGATTTATTTTTGTTTCTTTCATTTTTTTAATGTTCCTTTGTTTTCTCTTTGTATATTCTACATATGACTGAAGTCATCCAGTATTTGTCTTTTTTCTTCTGTCTTGTTTTGCTTAGCATAACCCTCTCCAGTTTCATCCAGTTGTCACAAATGGCAAGACTTCATCTTTTTTTATTTATCTGAATAGTGTTCCAGTGTGCATATACACATCATCTTTATCCACTCATCTGTCATTGGCATTTAGATTGTTTCCATTACTTGGTTGTTATAAATAGTGCTGCAGTGAACATAAGAGTACATGTATCCCTTTGAAGTAGTAAGTAGATACCTAGAAGTGGAATGGCTGGGTTCTATTGTAGATCTATTTTTAATATATATTTTTTAAAGATTCATTTATTTATACATACAAGAACTGGGGTACAGGCCAGAGTTGTGGGGGGTGAGGATTCACCAGAGCCAGAGTGGGGAGTAGAACAGCTAGACTGACCGACATACACTGCTGAGGGGAGCAGCGGGCGAGACAGGAGAGGTCTGCTGAGCCATATGGGTTGCTCCCTGGCCGGGGATCGAACCAGTGCTGCAGAGGCTGCGGACAGCTTTACAGCGTTGCACTCAACCCCCTGCGCCACCAGGGAGGCCCTATTTTTAATCTTTTGAGAAACCTCCATATTGTTTTCCACAGGGATCGGACCAGTGTAGATCCCCACCAATAGCATATGAGGCTTCCTTTTCCTCTGTATCCTCTCCAACACTTGATATTCCTGGTGTTTCTGATGTGGTCTGTTCTCACTGGAGTGAGGGGTTATCTTACTGAGGTTTTGATTTTCATTTCCCTGATGATTAGTGAAGATGAGCATTTTTTCATGTGCCCGTTGGCCATGTGTATGTCTTTTTTGGGAGAAGCAACTAGTTCTTCTGCCATTCCCTTGGTTAGGTTATTTGTTTTCTCATTGTGGAGTTGTATGAGTTTTTTTTGTAGATCTTGGATATCATCCACTTGTCAATGTATGATGTGCAAATATTTTCTCCCACTCAGTCGGTTGTCTTTTTATTTTAATGAAAATTTCTTTTGCTGATACTTGCATAGGTTTAAAATGTATCAGAGACATTCTGCAGGGGAGGGGGAAGGGCGAGGGATCAAAACATGGCAGAGAAGAGCACAAGGGACTATGGTGATGGTGCATGGGTGAATCGGTGGTGGGAATTTTACGGAGACTACACCTGAGAAGAGAAAGCATACATTGTACAAAAATGAAGAATGATGTAAAATATATACAAATAAAAAATGTTTGTTGGAACTCTTTCCAGCTAAGTTTTAAAACTTCATAAATATTTTGATTAAACTTTTAAAGGAATTATAAATTAAAATGCCAATCAAAATGTTTTATTAGAAAATGAATTTAGATTTATTTCAAACAGAGGAAAATATAGCTATCAATTACCTGTGTTTTTAATTTAATTTGTACATAGAATCTGGAAATTGGCATTATAAATAGTTATGTTGCTGGGCTGAGCACTAGATTTTAGCATTTTGTAGCATCTAAAGCAAAGCTTATCCTTTATTTATTTTTTTTCTTTTCCAGATGGTCTCCCAGCTTGAAGCCCAAATATCTGAGCTTGTTGAACAGTTGGGAAATGAGTCTGGGTTTCACCAGAAAGCTCTACAGAGGGCCCAGAAGGCAGAAAACAAGTTGGATACCCTTCAGGGTCAGCTGACACACCTGGAGGGAGAGCTGATTTCTGGAGATGTTTTGCGAGACAACTTGAATTTTGAGAAACAAAAAGTAATAACCTGAGGGCAGTATAAAATTTTACTTGAAAATAGTTGAATTTTATAGTATGTTGATGCATCAGTTAAGTCCTGAGTCCTGAGTGAATTTCAAGGAAAGGTGGATATTTTGAGGGGTTTCTTCCTGTTGTTTGGAGTGTCTTTGATTCAGATTAATTCAATTAACTCTACAGGTATTTATTGAAAGCCTATTGTGTATGAGTTCAGATGTGATTAACACAGTGTTTGGTCTATAAAAGCTCATAATACAATAGAGGGGGCAGACATTCAAGTGATTTGCTGTACTATAAGGCTCTAAGTGATATAATAAATGTTCTGATTAATAAAGTATTACAGGAGACCTGTGAAAGGAGTGATGGCTTCTAGATAAGGAAGGAAATAATATAGGAAGGAAATAATTAGGTTCATCTTAGTAAGAAAGTGGGATTTTAGTGGAGAAAGGGTTAGCTACTCTAGGAGATACAGTTTGAAAGCTTGCAAGTACATACAGAGAACACAGAGTGCTTATTCCTGTATGACTGGAAAGTGGCTTTTTTGGTGGGACTGTGGCATGGAGAGGAGACTAGAATGGCTTGGATTATGAAGACTTTTTTTATTCTGTAAGTATTTATCTGAAGTATTTTTTATTATCTGAAGTATTTTTTATTCTGTAAAACATGAAATATAATAAGAGATTTTGAGTTTCCCAATATTTTAGAAAGGTAATATGATGATGTTGTGGAGCTGAAGTAGCAGTATGTGGAGAGACTCAGAAATAACAAAGAACATAGTAGACTAGAATGAGAAGAAAAGGAGTCCACATTTCCAGTTTGACCTTGGGGAGTCCATCTCCAAGAAACTGTTTTAGTAAAGTGGTAAATAGAATCCAGTTTGCATTGAGCTGACGGGTGACTGGAAAATTAAGTGTAGAGACTTAGAAGTAGACTACTGCAAAGTCTGATGACCAAAGAAAAGAGGAATGAAACAGAAACTGTGAAAAATAGTGCTAAAGAAAGCTGTTATTGGACAGGATGGGAAAATGTATGTTGGCAGGCCACAGGAGTCTGTAGAGAAAAGGTGAGCAATCAAGAGCATAGGTATGGAGTTGGCATGAAAAATACTCTTAGGTTGAAAAGTCCACACCCAGCAAATTCATTCATTCTCATTATTTTATATTTAAAAACAAAGAGGAAACATTATGCCTGCATTGAGGTTTGGCTAGATGCCTAAGAGGTATCAATGGGTGTGAGACAGGCAAACCAGACACAGTTGTACAAAGAGGATGATAATAGAGCTAGGTATAAAATGCAATAGGAACTTGGATAAAGAAGTCAGTGCTTCCTTCCTCTTTCTCTATGTGAGGAAAGGAGTTATCTTCATATAAGATATTTGATAGGAGCCTTAAAGATTGAGTGGAAATCTGCTGGTTTTGTGAATGAAGATAAGGCATAGATTTGAGAAATTTGGGACAATGCAGGAAATTTCTCTATCAAATATCTGAAAAAGATGTCTTGATTGAAAATTTGAGTCTGAAAGAAAATATGCACTTTGGTATAATACATTGAATTGGAAGAAACCTGTCTGCTGGACATCTTTACGTAGATGCTCCATTAACACTTGCACTAATCAAAATGGAGATGACTACCCCTACTCAAATTTGCCCTTCTCCTGCCCAGTGACAGCAAGGTAATCTGCATCCAGTTGCCCTAGCCAAAATCCTGAGAGTTTTCCTCAACACTTCCCTCTTTTAAATAAATTCCTAAGCACTGCAAATGCTATCTCCTTACTATATCTCATTTACTCACCCTTGCCACATTTCTGTGTTAGTGGTAGTGCTTTGGTTCAGAGCAGTGTTAAAATTTGCGAGGCATACCAAAACAACCTTTTAACTGCCTTCCCTACTCTCACCAGGGAGGTTTTAAAAAAAATGAATGTCTAATCTTATCTTTTTCCATATTCAAACTGGTCAAAACTTCTCTGTGACACTTAGGATTGGGTGCAGCTTCCTTCTTTCCATGGATGAAAGGTGATTCTGTGACCTGGCCTCTTCCTCTCTCCACACGCCCTCTCACCTGCAATCTCTCCAGCCAAGATGGCAAACTCAAGAGGTTCCAGGGACCAGCAGGGACCTTGCAGGGTGTGGAGAGAATACTCACTGAGTCTAAAGATCTCCACCTTCAAATTTGTGAAAAACAGGCATTCCATAATGTTCATGGCTATCATCTTTCTACAGAGATGTTCTCCTTGCCTTCTTTTCCTGGAAATAACTGTCTCTTTAAGACTCTGCTTCAACACTACTTCCTCTTCCCTAAGAAACTTAGTTTTTCATGTTATAGGTACCTGCCTCTGCCACAGCACTTATCACCCTTACTGTATTATCTTTTAATTAAATTCATCTTCTTCAACCAACTCCAGGCTTCTTAAGGCTAAGGGAGGTCTTTTTTTATTCCCCTTGATTTCTCCAGGTCTAGAGCGAGAGTCAATGAACATTATTTAAATTGTAGAAGAAACATATCAAAGGCAAGAATTTTAGGTAGATTGGTGATTGTTCCCTTTCCTTCACTATAATGACTCATTACTTTTAATTGGGATTAAGCCAAAATAACTCTCCATTATGAAAACAAATTCTATAAACAGAGTCTGTCCTTGGTAAATTTTGCAAGGACCTATCTATGAAATGCATGTCCTAGTGAGACTAGTTAGCATTTAGTTGAAAAACAACATTGTACAGAGTTGTGACTTAAATATAGGTAATTGAGGTTTACACAAAATAGAACAGAATGTATTCATTTTAAACTGTGGTTCAAATGAACAAAATATGCAGCAGTCTTTCCAGCATCCTTAACTTTCTGAGGCATATACAAGATCTTTGAAATAGTTGCTTTCTCTGTGAGTCTTGGCTTGGACCAGTCTTAATCCCTTTTTGCCTGAGGTAGACTCTTGCATGCTAAGTGGACGAGTCACAGGTAGAAATGGAAAAAGATCTTTTGACCTTCACATGCAAAGTACCAATTTTGTTGTATTTAAAATATAGGCAATAACAGTTACTTCATTTTCTTTTACATAGATAAGAAATGAAAAATCCCAAAGAGCGAACTGATCCAGTATTTAGAAGTGACAAACTCATGATTCAAAGAAAAAGCCACCTATGTCCTTGTCACAGCAGACAAGAAGTGATATTTGTAATGACTGCCACTTAGAAAAAAGCCATTAAATTTTATGTATGCTAGCTAATAATATTGGAAAGCACATACAAATAATTTTATCCTGCTGATTAAAATATAGATAGTTCTGGGTTTTAAACTGGTATGCTTTGGTCATCAGTTATACTTATTTAAACCTATAATTTCCTGAAAGTGCCAGATGGATGAGCAATTATTGTGATGAAAAGAAAATTTCAAAGATAGAACCCAAATCATGAAATGATGGCATAGAAAGCTCATTGATTGATTTATTCATCCAGCAATCACTTAGTAAGCATTACTCTGTGTCTGGTCATGACTAGACAAACCGTGGGCATCAGGTGGAGGGCGACCCTAGGCCACTTTTGTGACTTTAGCCTATTAAGCTATGAACCTTGACTTACTTGGTGTGGCTATAGCATTTTGGAATGTTATTCCTTTAACACTGATATACAAAGAACTTGTAAAGACATTTTCTAAAGAATTTTAACTGGTTTAAAAACAAAACCATCATCAGATAGGTTTGTGTAGGGAACTTTGGTTTTGGAGTACTCTGTAGAACCAAGAAGAATAAAAGGACAGATGGCCAAGTTGTCATTTTCCACCTTTGAAGCCAGGGCTCCCTTCGATGAAAAGCTCACACTAAGTAAGGTACACGATTCAACCCCAGGGGCTGGGTTAGCCTGGCAGGAGCCTATAGCCCAAGCTGGATGTACTCAGGAGCAGGTCAAACTTGTTACCTGGCAAGCTGTTTAATCCTAGATTAGACCTCAAGGTCACTGACCAGGAGAGTCAAGAAAATGTGATTACAGAACTGGCAGGTTGGTCCCAGAATCCATCACCAAACATTGGGATCAGGGACTGGACTCTGTACTGGGTTTAATGAGAACAACCTATGAACTTGGGAAAAGAAAAGGATGCTGTGAGATCACCTGTTTATTTTTGTGTCCCATTTTCATTCTTGCTCTTGGTTTTAGTATCTTAAATTTCTGGATCAACTCTCAGAGAAAATGAAACTGGACCAGATGGCTGCTGAACTTGGCTTTGACATGCGTCTGGATGTAGTTTTAGCTCGAACAGAGCAGCTGGTCCGCCTTGAGAGCAATGCCGTCATTGAAAACAAGACTATCGCCCACAATTTACAGAGAAAGGTAGGGGATATTGAAACTTGCCAGTGTTGACAGGAGAAATTTCTGAGAAACTTAAATATTGAAAAATAATTTACCCTCAACTCATTTACAAATGTGACTGAGAAATACATTATAAGCATAGATATTCAGAGTTTGAGTCAAGTCTGAAGAGATGGTAAGTATATTGCCTAAGGTCATGTTTGACTGTGAATGATGGAGACCCAGAGTAAACAGTGGCTTAAACAAATAGGAGTGGTTTGTTTTGTTTCTTCTCACAAATTTCTGGAGGGAGGCATCTTGGGATGAGTGTGGGTCTCAAAGTTTGCAAGGAAACAAGCCCATTTTGCCCATTCAATTCCCGTTCCCAGGGTGCTCCTTATCCTCATAGTTTAAAATAGTGTTTAGAACCGTTATATCTATGTTCCAGGCAAGACACTGGAGAACAAAGGCATGAAGAAGAGGGATGCAAAGAGCATAGCATGCAGATTTAAAGTGAAGGCTCCCAGAATCTGCTACATGAACCTGTGTTTCTGTTCCACAAGGAGAGTGGATTCCAATGGCTAAACCTAGCTGCAAGGGAGCCTGTAAAGTGCAGTAGTTTCCCTGGGTAGTCATTTACCTGGTTAAAAAAAAATAAGCCCACTGGGTTTTTTTTTTTTTTCCTATAGGAGAAAAGGGGAACTGGGTAACATCTACCAGTCTCTGCCTCTCTAAGTTCTGTTGCACTAGAAAGTAAAGAGAGGAGAAGAGCTTAACTGTTCACTCACTCAAAGGAAGAGTTGGAAACAGTCTAGATCAGATAAATGAATAAGTGGATGAAAAGGATAAAAATATAATTATTAGTATAATTATTGGACATTGGGGAAAGAGGAAAACAGATGTACTCTTTTAATGGTTCTTAAGAGAATTCTTGGTAGAATTAAGAGTGTTCAGGTGATGTGATAAGTTATATCTGGGTTCTCACTTTGATTTCACTGAACTGTGTGACCTTGGGCAAATGACATACCTCTCTGTCTCTGTCTCCTCATATTTCAGGTGGGGGTGATACCTACCATGTGAGGCTGCTAATTTTTTTTTAAAGATTTATTTATTTATACAAGCACTGGGTACAGTCAGAAGCACGAGAGGGTGAGAGAATTCACCAGAGCCACAGCAGGGAACAGAACAGGCAGACTGACGAAATACACTGCTGAGGGGAGCAGTGGGTGGCAGGAGAGGTCTGAGCGCCATGTGGGACCCTCGCCTGCGGGCGGGGATCAAACCAGCACTGCAGAGGCTGTGGGCACTTCGCAGCCCAGCACTCAACTGCTGTGCCACCAGGGGAGGCCGGAGGCTGCTAATTTTTAATAAATAGCATTTGTGAACTCTTGGCTCCTAGAAGATGCTCTATTCACGTTTGACCTCATCTCCATTTGCTATATTTTAGGAATATTTTATAAAAGACAACAGACAACCATCAAGATGTCAAATTGAACTTCAGTTCTTTCTAAAGCTCTCAAAGAATTGGTTCTTTTTAAACTCTGGCACTGTTCTCTTTAAGTATTATATAATTAATAGAACTACCAGTGTATTAGAAGTTATGAGGTAAATTTGGCATCGAGTGGAATTTGACATGAAGAAGCTTAAGGAAGAGCCTTGTTACAAATGAATTTGGGGGTCCCCAATGGACTATAGTGGTTGCTCTTTGTGCTTTGATGTTGGTGGGGTATGATAATATACACTTGGACAGGTGTGAACATCTACCCCTAAAATATGTACTGTGTTGTTAACCATTGTTACCTCAATAAACATTAAAAAAAAGGATCTGGTTATAGATATTGCTGGCATCTTACAGGCCAGACACTTTAACACACATTTCAGGAAGTCATTCATACCTTCAAATGTTTGACAAATGCAGAATATGTAATTAGGGAAAATGGGACCATCTTCAAATCGAACATTCTATAATTTTGTATAATTTCAATTCCCAATGTTTGTAACAGATGAAAAAGGTTTCTGCACTTAATATTTCATCCACTAATTATGACATGAGAAACCCAGAAGAATTTTTTTCCCTATCACAGTCCATAATCTTTTACTAAAAATCACTGTAATTTCCTTCATCAAATTTCATTGTCCATGATGAGTGCTGGTTGAAGACCTTGTTCCCTACTTGGGTTGAGGATGGAATAGGCTGGCATATAATACAACATCATTTACAACCCTCCCAAAGTCCCTCCTTTTTCTAAGATTTAAAATAGACAAAGCTTTCTTAAAAATCTCCTTTCTTTAAGAATATGTCACTTCTCTTGTTTGGTGTCACTCCACCTGGGGCTAAGGGATTGTGATTAGTCTAGGCTGTCAGCATTAATTTATATCTTCTTTCAAAAAAGACCAGTGTAAGTAGAGTGGTTCCTGTGGAGCTAGAGAGGATTTTGTCTCTCTCTCTGACTATATTCTTCCTTTGATAACCCCACTTTACCTTTAAATGTAATTTTACATTTTTATTATGATAAGGAATGCCTAAGGAATCAAATGTTGAAAACCCATTTTGCACTTTTTCTGTGGCTTATTGGCCTCATATTTTGCTATTCCAAAGTTAATCCTGGGAAGAAATACGAATTAAAAATGTGATCAGGAAAAGGAATCCAGTGATTTTTTTTTTAATGGTTTACAAGTTAGTTTCTCCGTCAACAGAGATTATCTGAACAAGTCACCTATATCTACTGATTCAGTTTTTATTTTTAAAATCCTTGTGATCAAACCAGCTAAAGACCGAGAAAGAAAGACTAGAGAGCAAAGAGCTGCACATGAACCTTCTCCGGCAGAAAATCACTCGGCTGGAGGAGGAGAAGCAGGTGCGGACGGCGTTGGCTGTGGAGAGGGACGAGGCCAATCTCGCCATGAGGAGGTTGCAGAAGAAGGTGGAGAGGCTGCAGAAGGAGCTGAGTGAGTGCCGAGAACTGAACACTGAACTGAAAGCCAAACTGGCCGACACCAATGAGCTTAAGGCAAGTGCCCAGCATCATTTCTTTGCTGCTTTTTGCAGGTTCCTATAAAAGTTTGCACAAAAGAGTGCCAGCCTTCTAATGTCACGCTGGGGAAAAAAGGGGAAACACTCTCTCTGGTTTTCTAGAGTTGTGAGAAAAATACAAAAAATCACACACATCAGCATAGTCCATGAATTCAGTGTGTCTTCGATGTTTAAAAGGAAGCCACAGTTGCTGTGTGAAGTCTGGTATTCTGATGTGAAGGATGGAAAAAGTGGGGGTGACTGTGATATCAGGGTGCATGTAGGCATTCTTACGTGGAAATTTGCATGGGGAAGAAATGGGAAATTTGATACGTTACCAGGTGCTCACACAGAACGGGATCCAAAGACATGATGCACTGCAAGTTCCCAGCCTCTCCCAGAAGTTGGTCTGGTTGTCTTAGCAACTCTGTGGATTTTATTTATTTATTTATTTATCTACTTTTTTAAAGATTTATTTATTTATGCATACAAGAACTGGGATACAGTCTGGTGGTGTGGAGGGGGGAGAGAGGATTCACCAGAGACAGAGTGGGGAACAGAACAGGCAGACTGACTGAAATCCACTGCTGAGGGGAGCAGCGGGAGACAGGAGAGGTCTGCTGCACCATGTGAGTTGCTCCCTGGCTGGGGGTTGAACTCGTGCTGCAGAGGCTGCAGACAGCTTCATTGTATGGTGCTTAACCCCTTGCGCCACCAGGGAGGCCCAACACTGTGGATTTTAAAGAGTTTTTTTCCCTATTGTTTCAATCTGAGTCTTGTTTTGAACTATCTGGTATCCCTTTTCCAAGGCAGAAGAGGACATAACAATCATTGATTTGATGGGGAAAGAGAAAATTGCCCAGCTAGACCCACTGGAAAATTCTGTTCCATAGACACCAAAGAAGTGACAGAGGAAGAAGATGTTCATCATAGCTGGGAGAGAACCTGTGCACAGTTGGGGACCTCTGCTTTCCATGGCCATAATCTTTAAATGTTTCTTGCTGTGCACTTCACTGTACAGACCACAGGTCTATGGGGAAGCATTGCTCCGGGTCCCAAGTGTGTATGTGGACCAAACATTTGATCTTTGGTAAAGTGTCTCTTAAACCCTTTAAAATTCCTCCATTTGTGTTCAAGTGGGTTTGGGGATAAAGGAGGCAACTTGTCTGCATTTCCATGGTAGTGTCCAGCTCAAGGGAATGCAGGGGCACCTTGGTTTATCCCAGAGTCCTGCCAGGAGCACCCACCTGCTCCCCCTGCTCCGCCAGTGACCATGGGCTAAGGAGACTCTCTTTTACTCACTGGCTTTCTGGTGTTGGCGGAAAGATGAGAATTGCTCCCATAATTGGTATTAAGCAGTTTGGTACCAGTGCCTAGAACAGGAATGATAAATAAGATGAAGTTGGATTTCAAGCCAGGGAGGTAAATTCAGCCTCTTGGGGGTCTCAAGGAAAAGAGGGCATATTTCAGTGGAAGGATGTGTCCATGTAGTAGTTTCACTTCTGCAAAGAAATCTCTGATCGCGGGAAGGGGCTAAAGAGCTTGTGGATTTTCTGACCACTGCGAGCTCTGCAGAACGCCACAAAGTCGGAGGGGAGAGACAGCATAGTCGAGAGTCTGGTGATTCCTGGAGAGGGCTCCGTGGGAACGATGTTAAGTCTAGTACATTACCATGGGCTTCCCAGAGGGACCTGAGTCAGGTATTCCTAAGAAGCCTGCAGTGCGTTTCAGAAACAAGGCAGGCATGGTGGTGAGAAGAGCAGTGACAGCTGCCTGGCTCCCCACCCCCGCCCCCTGGTGACGGGGTCCTTACAAACAGGCCCTTTTCTCCGGTGATGAGATGAACCCTGTCCTCAGGAGAAATTAAGAAGCAGGACTTAGTGAATCAGATCATACTCAGCCGTGCTGTTTATTTGTTGCTTACTCAATTGTAAAATCTCCCTTCTTGACCGAGCCCCCATTCCTGCTTTGGTTTTTATGCCACATCCATACCTCGCCATTGAGACCCTGGCTTCCCTCCACTAGGAGTCTGCTTGACTCTTGTCTCCAAGGACCTGAAACTCCCTCTCTGAATGAAGCTGACTGGGTCCAAGGGAGGGCTGTGACATTAACTTGTAGATTCCAGTCAGCTCAGCATGTGTCTAAATAATGTCAATTTAAAGTGCAATGAAACAGTTAATAAATAGGCAGTTCCGTACGATGTAAATAATAGTTGCTGCCGTCACTCATTTGATCCCTGCTAAGTGCGGCTGATGAAACCTTCAGAATTGCAAGTCCAGAGCCTTAACATGATTGTCCTGCAGAAACACGGAGTCTGGCAGGCCAGAGTCTGGCAGCAGAGGTGGAAACGATGTAGCCAGGGATTCCCGTCTCTGTGACCTGCCGAGTGGTGTCTGGGAGCTGTGAGAGGAAATGAGGAGCTGTGGCAGGAGGTGAATGGCCCGGGGCCTGCAGCCCAGGCCTGGGTCTGAGTCAGGGCATCTAGGTGGAGGGTACTGGGTACCTGGAGGATGCCTGGGCCAAGGCAGTCGTGTGAACCAGAAAAGGTGTCGGCGGGGCGGGGGGGTTGGGGGTGGTGGGGTGGTGGGGTGGTGGGGTGGGGGTAGGTGAGTGGGTGGGATGGTGAGAGCCGCCCCTCCTGGGAGCAGACGGCAGAAGCAGGAAAAGAGCGATTGCGAATTGAGGCTGTTCCAGGAATAAGTGCCCTTTGGTCTCCACGACTTCTGCTTGAATCCCAGCCTGCACGATTTTTCATCTGGATTATTATAATTATTTAGAAGAGGTCTTTCCACTCAACCTTCTCACAAGCAAGTCTGGTGCTTGTCATTGAGTTTTGCTCTCTGAGCGACGGGATTCTGCCAGGCGAGGTCTGGAATCGTGTCTGGTTTGAGGAGGTCCAAAGCCAGCATCAGTTTCCAGCCTCAGCCATGGGGCGTGTACCTCTGGGGACACACAAAATGTTTCTGAGAGTCCATGGAAGATTATATAATGTTCTATCCTGAAGTATAAAATGGATTGCCTTTCATTTCTCTTTCAATTATTTCACTGTCAAGGAGAAAAATCTTAATTTGAGGTTATGATGTCCTTATACTTCTAGAACACTTACTTGCCAGTCTGCTTTTTTTCCAGCAAAACTAAGCCAAAAGCTGGGTGCTGAGCACAAGTAATTGTAGCTAGTAATATAGTCTTTTTTTTATTACACGATATTTCTCTTTGTTATCTTCTATTTGTGGCAAATTCTGTTGAAACCATATAAAATTCCTTACCCAATAAATACATTTGCTTTAAGTTTAAAAAGGGTGGCTAAGTTAAGGGAACATATGGATATAGGTGGTATGTGGATTTGGCAAAAATTGTAGGGGCTGGATGGGGATTATTGGAATATAGACAATAGAAGGAAGGAGAGAAGCTCCGGTTGACTGTTGCTGACACCTGGTAATTCCTGGGAGTCCAGGGTGGTGGATGAAGAATCTGGGCCATGGCTCTATGTGGGTCGTGCTGTAATGCTTGCATGTATCCTTTGGGTTTTGGGGACTCATTGGAGAATTTTAACCAGGAGAGAAATTGTTAAGAAAGAAATTAAAAGAGACAGAGCTGAGGAAAGCTGGGCATCTCTAGATCTGTGATCAGCAGCAAGAGCCACCTTCCTGTATTAGTTTCTTGGGGCTGCCATACCCAATGGCCACAGACAGCGTGCCTTATACAACACAGGCTGATTGTCTCCCAGGTCTGGAGGCCTGAAATCTGCAATCAGGACTGACCAAGGAGTGATCCTTCTGGACGATCTGAGGGAGAACCATTCCATGCCTTGCTCCCGTCTCTGCTGCTGCTGGCTCTCCCTGGCATGCGGCTGTGTAACCCAGTCTCTGCTCCGTCTCTCTATCATGGCATGACCTTCCCTTCTGTGTGTCTCCCCATTTCTGTATATTTTAAGAATATCCATCATTGGATTTAGGGTCCACCCTCACCTAGCCTAGCTGCTGGGCCTCTGACCTCATTCTGGCCGCAGGGCAGGAGGAAATATAGGAGGGCACCCTGCATGCCGCTTTCCAGGAGCAGTGCCATTCCTCTTGTGTCTCCATTGGCCGATACTTGGGTCACAGACCTCACTCAGGTGAACTCACAGCTTTGCACAGTGGCAGTATTGTAGCCAGTGAGGTTTATCCAAGCGCGATTATTGCTAATCGATGAACTCAGCCCGGGAAATGGGTCTTTATTCTGGGCAGTAAGAAGGACGGGAAGAATCCGTGTTGGGTGGGGAGCTATCCGTTTTCAGCTTATACCGTGTTACCTTGTCTTAGGAGCCACTGTGGCCAAAATTCTGTCATCAGACAACCGAAAGCTAATGGAAAGTCATCACTCTCTTCCTGTTCATCTCTCAAGGAAACACAGGATAGCCTTTCCCATGCTCCTTCCCCTCTCCAGAATTTTCTCCACCCCAGCCCAGACAACCTTTTTTTCTTTCTTTTTTTTTTTTTAAGATTTATTTGTTTATGCATACAAGATCTGGGGTATAGGCCAGAGGTGCAGGGGGTGAGAGAATTCATTAGAGACAGAGCAGGGAACAGAACAGGCAGACTGACTGAAATATACTGCTGAGGGGAGCAGCGGGCAAGACAGGAGAGGTCTGCTGTGCCATGTGGGTCTCCTCCCTGGCTGGGGATCAAACTTGTGCTACAGAGGCTGCGGACAGCTTCATAGGTTGCGTCTTAACCCCTTGCGCCACCAAGGAGGCCCCAGACAGCCTTTCTTTATTATCTCTTTTTTTCCTAACCTACGTTGTTGGATTCAGCTCTGAGTACTAGACCCATTGACCCTGGATTGTGCTGAGCCCCCTGTGCCTAGGAGAAGACCCTCCCGGGCGTGGGGTGGTGGGGGAGTGCAGCTGTGCCCAGACTGGAAAGGGGGACATCTCCTTGATTCCTGCTGTGGTTTCCTCCTCTTTAACGTTGAGGTTTGGGAGGGACGCCCCATCCGTGTGGGCCAGTGGGGAGACGC